CTGGAGTTTCAGAAGCGCTGACTTTACAAGCTTCAGCAGCAGCCAATGACTGCTCCTCAAGACCAAGCAAGAAGAAAGGATCCCGCTTCTTGTACCACGGCTTTTGAGAAGAATAATCAGCTGGGGGGACAATGTCCAGCTGAGAACTTCGCAGGAACGGCGCTCTGTCGGTAGGAAGGGTAATGGTTGGATCACGCTTGGTCACCACCCTAGACGCACTGATTCCTAGCAGCTCGTAGTCCAAGCCGCAGTTACTTTCGTGCAGCACTGTTTCATATAAAAGGAAAATAGATTAGCACAAAGGAATAGAAAAAAGGAGCAAATTGCAAAAATAAAGAAAAATGTCAAGGGCAATCATTCGGCCCCAGCCAAGAGTCTTACCATCCTGGTATTTTCGGCTGAGGCCAACAGCTGCAAGAATCTTCTCTTAGAAGATATAGTGGTAGCACGGCAGCCAGACTTCGGGGAGCCTTGTTGATCGGCTAGCCCCCTAGTCCTAGAATCACGTTTGAAGAGCTCCAACTACTCCTCTTTGTGTACAGAAAATTCCTCGGGGCCGAGGACGCTCATTTTCGGATTAGGCCTTCTCAGATGCCTCGGCGCCCCGAAGAAGTTAGGATGCTCCATTTCCATAGGAGCCCTAACCCAGACCCACTGGCCCCTCCATTCCTTATCGGAGGTGTCATTCGGCCAGGTTGTCAAAAACCACCTTTGGGTCTCGATCCTCCACCACCCAGGTCCATGGACCTCGTCTGACTGCTAGTTCGGCCGCAGCTTATGCAGTTTTCTGAAGACCTGAAGGCTCGGATCATACCCATAAAACAGGGAAACCCACAGATACGTCATGACCCTCCTAATGCTGGCAAGCGTCAGCTGACATAGGGAAATGTTGTAAGCATTCAGCAGCTGCACAATGAATGGGTGTAAGGGAAATCTAAGTCTGAATTGCAGCTGCCGGGTATATACTCCTACATAGAAAGGAGGGGGCCTATAGATTCTATCCTCGGCTCGGGGCATTTGACACCAATACCCATCCTCCTCAAGAATCCATAAAAAATTTCCACCTGCTCGGCAAACCTATGAGTAGGGGCTTCCCTTATCCACCGATCGTAAGGGGCAGCAGTGGGAAGTCCATTGTTCTCTGGTGGGTTATGCCATTCCTCGGCTCCATCCCACAACCTTCTCGGCCCATGAACAGAACCACTAGTTGAACATGTGGGCTCCTCAAACCCAGGAAAAGGAACTGAATTAAGGGGTACTGCGGCTAAAGGAGTCCTAAGGTCACTTTCCATAGTTTCAGGTCTCCTTAATAGGGAATAATTTCGGCTTTGGCTCAGCAAGGGCATCCGCTGCAGAGGGCAATCTCGGCGGGACCCTAAAACAGTCAAAGGTAAATTCAGGGCCTCATTCTCAAAACTCTCATTCTCGCCTCTCGCTCTCACCATTTTGAGTAGAAGAGTAGAAATCGGGAAATAAATGAAAACCGAGAAAAATTCCGAGAAAATTACCTTAACAGATTCGCAAACTGCCGATCTTGAGGGCGTCGCAACAACAAGTTAATTCGGTTCAGGGTGCACAGAGAAATTGAAGGAAGAAATTCAGAGAGTTCGCAATAACTGAATCGCAGTGAAGCTCAGAGAATGTTTGTGTGTTTAATGCGTGAATAAATGAAGGAATGTGAAGAGGGGCGCTTATATACTGCAGAATTCAAGAAATTCTAGGTACTTTAACCGCCCAAAAACCCCACAAATTCCAAATTCAATGCAAAAATAAACCGTTGCACACATTCCAAAGCCACTGATTCCTTAAACTCTCAAGCTTCCTTAATTACTCTCATTAAAGGCAGTTAACCACTAATAACTACCTCATCATCATCATCCGGTTCGAAGCGGCAGTCATTTGTCCTTCGGATGAGCAAAAATCCAAACCCAACCCGTCTTTCAGCCGAATCGGGTCTGGGGGGCAAGTTGTTTGGGTCCAATTTCACCAACTTAATTGGGCCAAGTCCGAATAACTCAATCACAAGCCCAATGCAAAGGTCCACTCCCATCCAAAGCATGCTAAGGTCAGTCAAGGCCCAGTCAACTTGGCAAGCCCAATTGACTTCATGGCCCAGTCAACATCCAATTAAGCAAAGGTATAAAAGCCATTAACTTGGTCTATTCTCTGATATACACAATAAGCCTCAAGCACTAAATATCTGGCACAGCTTCTTCTCTTCACACATACTGACTTTAGCATCGGAGGGGCCTTCCTCGGCTATACCCCCGAGGCTAGTTTATGTGTGTTCGTTGTGCAGGAAATCCTCGACTCCATCGCTTACTGGACCGAGATCAAGTTCTCCCGAGATAAAAGGGCCTTCCGAGGTTCTATTGTTTTCATCCGAAACAACTTTTATATAATAATTAAGTGATTGGTTAACTTAGTCAAACTTGTTATAATATTATTGTCTAGCAGAATTAATTGAATTACTGATCAGTATTAGTTTGGACAGTTTCTAGTGAATTAATATATAAATACTGAATATTTCAGCAGTATCTGGTGAATTAGTGACCAAAGGAAATATTATTATCAAGTTGACATTACTCATACTTATAGTTTATCAGCAACTTTTCTGTGTGGCTGGTCACACTGTGTGGCAGGGATTACTTGTAGGGGTTACTTATTTAAGGGTTACTTGTATGAGTTATTACTTATTCAGAGGTTGCTTGTAGTAGTTACTTACTCATGGGTTACTTATAGCATGTAAGGGTTACTTATTCAGGGGTTACTTACTCAATCGATTAACGCACTTTCTGTGTGAGAATAACCCATAACCGACTGAGTAACCCTTAAATAAGTAACCCCTGACCAAACGAGTAAACCTTGAATAAGTAACCCTCGACAAAACGAGTAATCCCTGAATAAATGACTCCTGATCAAAAGAGTAACCCAAATAAGTAACCCCTACAAGTAACTCCTGACCAAACAAGTAGCCCCCTACAAGTAATCGCTGTCACACAGTGTGGCCATCCATATATAAAGAATTATGATAGTTTATACTCCCTCTATTCTCTTATGTTTGTCTTATTCTAACATTATATTTGAAGTCGCACCAAATAGGACTCTCTCATTTCTCAAATATAGTACATTTCCATTAGACATAAACACAAGCTATAATTGAGAACTTGGAAAGAGAAAGTACATAAAGTGCATGTAAAAAGAGAGGAATGTACAAGTTATATGAGTGAACCACAAATAATATATACATGAAAAAAAAAAATTGTAGCTATAAAGTATGGACGTTTTATAAAAATAAGCTAAATAATCAAAGTAATTACCAACTAGGATGCGTGGCAAAAGTATTTACAAAACTAAGCTTTCAGGGTAAAACGCTGCCTCGGACAGCGTTTTATACCCTGGAATTTTAAAAAAAAAAAACTGTTTGAAAAACGCTGCCTGGGGCAGCGTTATTTAAGTTTGACTTTTTTTTTAATTATGTAATTTCTGATTTATTAAAAAAAATAACAAAAGCACTATAAACGCTGCCCGAGGCAGCGTTTATTAAAAAAAAATTTTTTTTTTTTTAATTATACATAAAACGCTGCCCCAGGCAACGTTTTATGTACAAAAAAAGTTGTACATAAAACGCTGCCTGTACACTTGCATTTTTTTTTCCCAACTTCAAAAATAATTTAAACATAAAACGCTGCCTGGGGCAGCGTTTTATGCTGTTTTCCTTTTTTTTTTTAAATTTTTTTTAAAGTTTACGAAAATAAAAATAAAAAGTCAAACTTGAAAAACGCTGCCCCAGGCAGCGTTTTTTAAACAGAATTTTTTTTAAAAAAAATCCAGGGTATAAAACGCTGCCCGAGGCAGCGTTTTACCGTGGAAGCTTAGTTTTGTAAATACTTTTGCCACGCGTCCTAGTTGGTAATTAATTTGTTTTTTAAGCTTATTTTGTAAAACGTCCAATAAAGTACATGCACAAGGGTAAGGGTACGGTATACATAGTTAGAGAAAATATTGTAGCTGAGTGAATTTAAAAAAAATTAAATAAAAATAAATAAATAAATATGAAGGTTATTTTCATAGTGTCTAAAAATGGAAATATATAAAATGGGAACAACTTTTTGAGAGGCCTAACAACAAAAACAAGAACTATATTTGGGGGGAGTAATTGCCTACTTGGTTAGATTATAAGATTTGTACTTATATCTCGGCTATCAAATTCCCACTAGAGTAATTTGGAACTTCTAGAGTAATTTGAAACTTGGAAGTGGAGATTTTCTTATTCTTCCCTTCTAATTTTTATGGGGTTTGCCCACTTACACCAAGCTGAATGGATCTGTGCGAGATTCTTCAATTGATATGCGAGTGGTCATAATATAGTTCTTGGTATTGATATTGGGCTCAGGTAATGCTCTAGTTTATTAGGGTAAGTTTATTGGTGAGTCTTGAGTGGAGTCTTCACCCACATATAAAACTTGTGTTTTTTGCAATAATGTGGTGCAAGACTATATATAGTGGTTTTGAGATGAGTTTTGAAATCCAAAACTCATCAAATTAAAGACTCTATATATTGAAAAAGAATACTGATTTTTTTTTGTTGGCCAATGATGAGCTGCCAACTCATCAGCTCAAAATAGTTATTGATATTTTAATAATGAGTGTTAATATTTTTTAGGAGGGTAAGTGAGTCTGAAGTGATCGAGTTTAAAAAAATGCGTTAAATTGGAGAAACTTTAGTATGAGTCTAAATAATAAAAAAAAAAAAAAAATTAAAGTTAGTGGAAAGTTGACGTGGCAGAGTATGGTGTGTAAGTTTAGGTCTTGGGATAAATTTACCCTTACTTGAAATACAATAATTGTGCATGAACCTAATTACACTGATTTGTACATTATATAAATATGCGTTCTTAAATTTATGCTTACTAAATTAAAAAATATATGAATGCTTATTTTTAGTCATAAAGGCTACATATAACTTTACCTTTATAATAATGTCCATGCTTTTAAGTATGTCTGTTAAATGCAATATAATAATATATCAAAATTGCATATTAACTTGTAACTGGTGTATGTTCTAATTTGCTGGTCTAATGTTAGTTAAAAACCTAAACATCGCTTACATAGTTTTTTTTCTTTTTGGAAAATTCTCTTTGGTAACCACAAACTTTTAATTTTTCTCGGTGATAAAGCCTAAATTTTTTTATTATCAATGGTAATCACGAATTAATATTACTAAGTTAATGATAACTTAAGTTAAACAATTTGTTAATTCCTTTACCATGGTTTAGCTATTGAACTACAAAAAGACATAACTACCCCAACCAATTCTTTCTTCTTTTCTTTCCCCTTCCATAATTCTTTCTTGCTTATTCCTTTCTCTTTCCTTCTCCCCGTTGCACCTCCCTATCCAACCACCACCGCCATTGTTAAACTACTTGTTAAGGTCGGAATCGAAGCGAACTCAGAGTGACGCAACTTTTGCGCTGTATAACCTCTCACTTGATCATAGCAACCGAGTGAAACTCTTGAAGCAATTCAACGCAGATGACGTCCAGCGACCAGCCACCTCCTCCCCCTATCGGTGTCCAGCCTCCCCCACCTCTGGATGGCGACTTGCTGCCATTCGAACCGCAAAACCCCAGCGAATTCAACAACAAAACTCCGACAAATTCGACCCAAAACCAACAAGTTTGACCACTAATTCGACAAATTCAACCCCAAAAATCAACAAATTCGACCCAAAAAATTAACAAATTCGATCCCAAAATCAACAAATTCGACCCCAAAATCAACAAATTCGACCCCAAAATCACCAAAAACCCTAGAAATTTCAAGCAAAAATCGGGGAAGGAGATCAGAGGGAATCGGAGAAGGGGGGAGGGTGGCTGATTTCGACAAGGGAGTATGGCTGATTCTCCGCCGGGGGAGGGGGTTGAGACGCCGTCAGCCGGGCCGAGCTGAGCGCCGGCAAGGGGAGGGGGGCTGGCGGTTGGCTGGGGAGGGGTTTTGGATTTATTTTTGTAAAAAAAAATAATTTGAAGTGTATTTAATGATGGTTAATTATTTAATGATGTTTTAATATCATTAATCTTACTATTAGCTTAGTAATATTAATTCGTGATTATCATTAATAATTAAAAGTTTCAGGCTTTTAAATAAAAGTTTATAATTACGAGAGAGAATTTCCTTTTTGTTTAATGTTTTTTTAAAGACTCTAATCAATTCAAACATCAATTTTTACATAAAACACTTGAAAATAAGGGAGATACTTAAATGAATTGAATCTTCACCTTCAAATCTCCTCAATTACATTAAAATTTAAAACAAGAGTAATCAAATCAGCCAAACATTAACTTGGGAGTATAAAACATGAAAAAGTACTCCGTAGTAGGTTGATATCTTCTCAGCTTCCAAATTGAAAAATACAATAGATACTCTAATACAAAATCAACGAAGGACAAAAAGTAAGTGGATACATTAAGTGTACCACAGCTCATCACTAAATTAAAAAACCTTAATCGATCTGTCAAGTTTACGTCACACCAAATTATTAATTACATTAAACCCCAAAACAGAAAAATTAATACAAATAAGCGGCGACTTGCAACCGAGATACCTCTATTAGTAAATCAAAAACATTATTTCTCTTTATAAAGCCACCAAATATATCTCATCAATTTATTCAACTTCTAATCTCTAATTTTCCTTCTCTAAATTGATCGAGATTTTTCTTTTTTAATTTCTAGTAATCGAATTCAAATCTTTGTGGACTAAATTGAAGATGAAGGGCTATTGACCAACAACATTTATGCATGTCTTTGATATTCAAACATCTAGCTTCTCCAAGCCCGGTAATATTTCTATTCTCCATCATCCCTCTTTTAAGCGTTTGTTATTTGCATATATTCATAAACATTAAATATATTTCTTAAATATATGAATTTGAAACTATTTTGCCTTTGGTTGTTAATTGTTTATTTATTTATTTATTTTTCTTTTTTACTTTACTTTCATATATAGACTATGCATGTTTAATTAACATTTTCAATGTTTAGCTATATATATGATGAGTACTTCCTAGTTTTATTCACCTCGCTTGGCCTTAGTTATGTTTTAAGGTAGTTTGTTGTAATAAAGGGTAAGTTCTTGTATGTAAGCTAAGGGAGAAGTTGTAAGAGCCGTACGTTTTATGATCAAAAAATTGATAGATTGATGTATGTTGATTTTGTATCTAAATCGAATAAGTATATACGTGTATTCTTTTGATATATTAAAATCAAAGTCAAAGATTGATGAAACTTCGCAATCAGACTACAACCTTAGAAAAATTATTTCATTAATAGAAGATTAATACGGCATCTATAATAAAAATTAAATCCAGCATGCATATAAATCATGTAAGATCCTAATTGGGCAAAATCATGATCATTGTGTATGAGATATGAATGTAATTTTAATCTTTACTATTGCATTACTTCAACCTATAATAATTAGTAATGCAATTGTTGATGAACGTAGCTTTTATAATTTTTATTATTGTATTAGAATTGAAGATGAAATTGTTGCTGTAAGATAATAAAATTAACTCACCACATATTAAACTTCTTTCTCCATCCCCTCTTTTTAACCCCGCTAGGGACTTTGTTACTTTTTAAATGACATGATCACTTAATATTTACACACAATATATTACTTCTGTTTGTTAGTTGACACATTTTAATTTGACTTTAGCACTATTCACACACTCCCCTTTGATCATATTTAGTGTTTTATACGTAATGAAAAATATACTCATGTGGGATCTTGTTGGATTCATCAGGATATATATTTTCAAAATATCAACTTTTCATAATTTTTTATTATCGGTTAAAGATATTAATGGTTGAATTTGTGCACTTGCAAACATGACTACAGAAACGTGTCAACTAAAAAGAAACGGAGGAAGTATATCTTATACAAATGAGACTTATTGGTGTATATTAATGGTTGAATTTGTGCACTGACAAACATGACTAAAGAAACGTGTCAACTAAAAAGAAACGGAGGAAGTATATCTTATACAAATGAGACTAATTGGTGTATATTCTCTATAAATTTGATTGGGTAGTTGATGAGATCTATATTTGAAGTCAAAGTTATGTGTTGACTAGCTTCATACAAGATTGTTCCAATTATTAATTAAAGAGTATAGTATTGAGTACCATTGCATTAATTTTGATACCAATGTCTTTAAAAAACAAAGTAACAAAACTAAAATTTACTATAATGTTACATATTCATCAATTCATGCATAATGTCTTTTTAGATGCGAGGATTTTCATTGTACGGTCAGTTAGCAATGAAGGTCATTTTTGGGCCCATGTGCTCACAGGATACAAGCACATGAGCAAAGAAATTATTAATTAATAATCTTAAATGTAACATGTACAAGCTACAAGTCTTACAACTGAACGTGCATGGAAAATTGCCTTTAGGTGCTAATTGTTGTCACGATCTTGTTTGCGCAGATCATTTTGCGAGTAAAGATTGTTACATGTGGTACGTATAACACAAAGTTTTATGAACAACAATTTAAATGGCCAATTGCTTGATGAAAAAAGTGAGTTAAACTTAGCAATGTGCTGGTTGCTTCTTGGGATGTGGCCATTGCTAAAAAGAAGGGCAAGTTTTCGAGTTCGACAAGCCGGAGGAGCTTCATACAGTGGTAGCTAATGAGGATCATATAACTTAAAAAGTGTTGCACTATATTGGTTAGTTCAGTTTTGTTTTAAAACATCATAACTTTTAAAATACTAATCCTGGCTGATGGAAACTGTTGCCTTAAGGCAAATGCTCAAAAATCTCTGCACTAGTTCTCAATGGAGCTATGCTGTGTTTTGGAAACTTCAACAAGTAGAAAACTACAAGTAAGATATTCTTTCGTTTTTGGTGCATGTCACAATTTTTTTATGTTAAGTGAAATTTCAACAATGGTTTATTGCAAATATATTTTGATCCTGACCTCAAATAGTCACTAATACTATATTTTGTGATGATCTAATAAAAAAGTCATCATTTTCTCAAAAGTATACTTTGTACTATGCTATACTTCGTATAATGGAAATGTGATGTCTTTCCCCAATATAAGGGGACATAACGTAGCATTGTGACATATCCTTAATTAATTATGTGGAATTTAGAACCCCAGAAAGACCAAAAGGGTACAGTTGCACATTAAGACTACATGCGTCGGATTGAATATATATAAGTATAGAGCCATATAAATCCTTGCTAATTTATTGATAGGTTATAAAAATGATTGTTGATAAACTCATTTGTTCATCATCATATATTCATTATTACTTGAAAATTTCATTAGGGTTTTGACCTGTGAAGACGTGTATTGTGACTCCGAAAAGTCGTTACAGCAACCATGTCAAAGCATATTAAGCGATCCTAATAACTCAAGACAAGAAGATGTACAAAGTTTTGGATATGGAACTAATATATGCAATGATGTACATTCCTTGGGAGTAGGCTATCCTATTGGATTTGCAGTTGCTGATATGTCATGTTGTCAATATTTGCTAGGAGAGGGGTATATATGATCTTTCTCTTTTATACTACTTCGAATTTATTTATTTTGGAAGAATAATGGATGCAATTCTGTATGTTATGATTATTATGATTGGGTGTTTGTTCGTTTGAATATGGAGATCGACTAGACTATATAGAGAGTTAGTCAAGCAACAGCTTTACCAAGGAGTTGGGTAATAGGAGGTTGAACTCTGAGATTTAAAAGTATGACTTATTTTTCATAAATGGAAAGAATTTTGGAGAATATTATATTAAAAATGGTATTAAAATATTTTTTCCATGATGTCTCATGCAAATTGAACAATGAATAGCCAGTAACACAATAAGTTTCCAATTACAAATTGTAACATAACTCTCAAATACATACATTATCTAATTCTCTAATTCCCAAATTCCCAATCCCACATACCAATCTCAATGTCGTGCAGGCCTTATGTTTATTGATGTAATTATAAGTACAACTTGACGTGCTTGCCAATTAATTGTAATTCTCGCTTGAATTTATATTAATCAGGATGGTGGGAAGAGTGGCATTCGCAGAGAGTAATTTCTGGATTTATTCAGACGACATTGAATCAATTGAGCTCATTTCCAACTTAGGGGTGAGTTTTGACTTGTTTAATTTGCATGACAATTTTAATTTTCCTAACTTAATGCTGGTTTTTTTTTTTTTTTTTTTTTTTTTTTTTTTTTTTTTTTTTTTTCTTTTTTGTAAGCAGTATGCTGATGATTGGCTTCTTCCCATTGGAGCAGGAATCAAGGTGAGTTGATTTGAATGATTTCATCATACAAAATTGATACTCCATATTATAATATCCATCTCACTAATAGAGTATACGAGTAATTATCAAGTTCATATTCAATTGTGCTCGTATTAATTAAACTTTTTAATCTGATTTCAACTCAACTTGCAACTAACCCGAAATTAATTCATATTACAAATATATCGAATTTAATTTAAATAATAACAATTAATGAAATATCTTAATATGACCTGAACTAAACTGAATCCATCCTTGTTGCAAACTTGCACGACCCATCAATTCTATATGACCTGAACTAATTTGAACCAACATTAACAACCTGCTTGCCAAGGTGCATCAATCATCTAGGAGACATTTGGCTCACTTGTTTGCTTATATTTGTGCAGACAACATTACTAGCACCTTTGTTACCAAATGGAGTTTTGCAATTGGGCTCGTTTGAAAAGGTGACTAATCAACAAACTTGTTTTCTGTTAAAAAATATGGCATTATATGATTCAAATCCCTCTAACAATGTTGCTCCTACAAGTTAAATTAAGGTACTACTAATGCATATGTTGAAGAATAAATAGTGCTTATGTATCTATACATGTGTACCCCTGAATCACTTTAGTATTTTGCATGTGTTGAAAAACAAATGGGCTTGTATTGGATGCTTTGCAAAATTCAATTACAGTTCATATGTAAGTTGTGTTTGAAATTGAACAACACGAACCTTAAGCTGAACAAAAAGAGTACACAAATATATTCTTCATATGTCCATGATTACTTGTCACATCGTCTAAACCTCTTATAAAAGCTAAAAAGTATAATTAAGGATGTGACATGATTTTACATAAATATACTCTATTATGTTTTAAAGGTCATAACTTTTTCAAGACGGCCCAAAAAAGTACATACAAATATGTTCGTTTGCTGAGATAATGGGCTTAGCTTGACTTATAGTCATGTTTCGTCTAGATACTAATACTGTAACCTATTTTTATTTTTTGGGAACTAATACTATAACCTGGTCTGTACGTCTTATGCTGCTTTCTCTGTTACTAGTGTGAAGTGTGGTATGACAGTGGCAATTTATGATATCTCATTGGCAGATTTTGATCCAAACTTGGTTTTTTTATTTTGATTTTAGTATCTTTAAATTGTTCACTTTTATGAAAGTATGAAGCTTATACCTTATTTTTATAATAACTGATTAGGTTGATGAAAGTCTAGCCGTTTGTGCTGATATAAGAGATAGATTCTTCACTCTTACCTACATGCCAACCATCGCGTTACCTAGTTATGTTGATGATCATCTTCTTTGCTCGTCGATTCTGATGGCTGTACCAGAAAACAACAATGAATCATCTTTCACTTACAACAACCTACGAAGTATGGAATATGAGGATACAAATATAATTCATGATGCAGAATTCATAGAAAATGATTTGCCAGCCACTTATGATCAACTTGTTCCTTTCATGGAGGAAAATTTTCTCGAACTTGAGGAAATTTCCTGCATTATTGATGATCAGAATATGTTTTATCCATACTTGAATACCAATATCGAACCAATTACAAGCGAGCCTTTTAGTACTGATACACCATCTGCAACAGCAATGTGGATGTTTTCTTGCCATGAAGAAGATTTCAATGATGCCATAGTCTCTGAAGAATCGTCTGGTGGTATATGTTCTGATTCTGTTCTCAAACAAGTGAATTGTTCAACTGCAGCTGGATTTGCAGTAAATCACACTAACAGCAGAAATCTCAACGATTTCCCCATAGATTGTTTGTCAGAAGAGGCAGCAGAAATGTGGATGTTTTCTAGAGATGAAGAATTTGATGGTGCTAGAGTCTCTGCAGAAACATGTACTGAGAGTTGTTCTGATCCGGTTCCCAGAGAAGTAAAATTTCCTCCGACGGTTGAATCAGGAGTAGGCCTCAATAGCAGCAGAAATCTCAGTGATTTCCCTAGAGACTGTGAGCTACAAGCAGCACTTCTTCAGCCAGTTTTCAGAATGTCTGAAGACAGGCACTTGGGATGCACTTACAAGGAAAATGTGTACTCTAATGAAGGAGTTTGTTTTTCAGCAGTGGAATCGTGTGGACTAGTTGATGAACGTGGTAAACAAGAACATCTTTTGGAAGATGTGGTTGCTACTTTGATTAATAATTCCTATGACAGTACTAGTTTTAATCGCTGTGATACTAGCAAATCATCTGTAACCTCATTGGCAGAGACGACTCCTGATACTATTTCAGCACCAGAGGAGTGCAACACTATGTCAGACCACCAAAGCATGTTTGGTATGACTTCAGTCCCCTCATTGGAGAGCTTAGAAAGTGCAGCTGTTGAAGATAAGCAACTACTCGAATGTGCTTCTAAGTTGCTTGAAGATAAGAATGTCAAGAAGCCCATAAACAGCAGGGGCAAGAAGGAGAAACCAAAGGGTAATGATAGACCGAGACCAAGAGATAGACAGCTCATTCAAGATAGACTCAAAGTGTTGCGCAAATTAGTCCCTGATGGTGCAAATGTCAGTAGCTCTAGTAAACTTACTTGTTAGTCCAAATTAGTCCCTGATGGTGCAATCATCTGTAAAATTCTCTATATTTTTTTGTGCTTTACAGAGTAGCATTGATGGGCTGCTAGACCAAACTGCAAAGCATATGATGTTCTTAAAAAGCGTGACAGAACGAGCAGAGAAAATGAAACACTTCATAAGTCAAGAGGTACATGAGCACTTAAAACTACTACTATATATGCTTTTAGATTTCAAGAAAATCCTATTTGTATGTATCTTCGAACTACTGTAACACTTTGAGCAGGGTACAGAACCTACCATACTCACATGTGTTACAATTAGCAAGTTTTGTTATCCTTCAAAGCAATGATGCTCGTGACAAGTGGATTTTTAATTTGGAATCGGATGAAGAGGCAGGAGGAGTGATGCTTGATCCAAGGCAAAAAAAACTACTTGCTGAGGCTGCTATCCTGCTGATTTCGCAAACATAAGCTTCTTCTCTTGGCCCTATATCCTTCAAAGAACATGAAATTTCCAACAATAAAAATGACATTTTTGAACTTTCTGCAGGATAATGCTTCTGTAGAAGGTGGAAATGACTTTAAAGCATGCCCTATTATTGTAAAAGATTTGGAACACCCTAATCAATTTCTGATACAGGTAATTGCATGTTATCATACTTTTACTGAACTTTGAATCATCCAAAAAAAACGGGTGAATTAGAAATTAACTAAACTAAATGGCTTTTCTATATACCTTTTTGAACAGATGGTCTGCAATAATGAAGGAGCCTTCTTTGAGATAGCAGAAGTAATGCGCAAATTAAAACTAACCATCTTGAAAGGGGCCATGGAAAATCGTCGCAACAAGTGGACAAGCTTCATAGTTGAAGTACTACACATAACTCCATAGTTGTTATATATTCCATCAATTACTTGCAATCTTTTCTTACTAAACATTCGCGGTATATTGGTTACAGGCTTCAAAGGGGTTTAACAGATTGGACATATTCTGGCCTCTGATGCGAATAATACAGCAAAATGGGAACTGGATGACAGACCAACTGTGTCCTTAAATATGTATTTCTTTTCGGCGTTGGCTAAGAAGTGGCAATGAAGGAGAACATGATAGAGTGATATCTAAGTTATTTACAAGAACGTAAACTCTATGTTCAACAGTGAAAGAAAGTTGTTAGTATGTACAATAAGTCAATTAGTTAGTATCTAGCAAGCTAAATTTAGAAGTCTTAATACAACAGTTTCACTCAGATCAGCTTCATTATTTGGATGCATAATTGTCATTTGTTTGTTTCGTTATTAGTCTTTTGGGTTAATTAGTCGATAATTAGCGCGTCAATGCTTGGAGTGAAGTTGGCAGGACATTATTATTACTCCCTCCATGTTTAAATAAATGAAACGTATTGACTTTCACGGAGTTTTAGGAAGGTTAATTGAATTTATTAAAATAATAGGTGGTGGGGTATAAGTTGAGGAGAGAGAAGAGAGTAAAGGGTTTTGATGGGACCATTAGTTAGTAGTATGTTATTAAAAACTATAGAGAATATCATTAAAAAAAATAGAGAGAAGTTACCTAAAAAAGGAAACGTGTCATTTATTTAAACACGACCGGAAAAAGAAAACGTTTCATTTACTTAGATAAGGGCTTGTTCATTAAATTTTATATATTATTTTTAAGGATTAATACCGTTTTTTAATCCCAACTTTGCTCAATTTACTTTAAATAATCCCAACTTTCGATTATTCAACAATAATCCCAACTTTCACTTGCGTTTCCTTTCTTCAATCCCAAACCGGTCAACGAAAGTCAATGACCTCTTATTCTAGATCACTTGACACGTGTCAAGTTGTAATTGGTTCAAAAAATTAAAAAAAAAAATTAAAAAAAATGAAGAAAAATTTAATAAAAAACAAGAAAAAAAACACTACTAGAAATAGGCAATTTTCCGAGGGACTATCTCCGACGGACTATAATTTCGTCGGAAAATTTGAAATTTCCGGCGGAAATTAGAGTCGTAGGAAAAATCCGTCGGAAAAGAAACGTTCCGACGGAAAAATCTGTAGGAAATATTCCGACGGATTTTATTTCCCTCGGAATATTCAAGTTCCGAGGGAATATTCTGTTGGAACCTGAAATTCCGAGGGAATAATTTCCGTCGGAAGGCTGCAACAATTAAAAAAAATGACGTTAGGTTCCAAAAAAAACAGAACAGCAACTGCGCAAAAGAAGAAGAGGAAGAGAGAGAAAGGGAGAAGGAGAAAGAAGAAGAGAGAGAGGGAGAAAAGAGAGTGTCGCCGCCACCACCACCCCGCCGCTAGGATGCCGCCGGTAAGTGTTTTAGATTTTTTTTTTTTTTACATTTTTGCTAAAAAACCCTAACCACCACCACCATTTCACCTAGGCTTCACCGGAATTCACCACACCCACTGCCGGTTTTCACCACAACCACCAAGAGTCGAAGCCGCCGCCGTTGAATAGTGGTAAGTGGTGTTTGTTTTGTTGGTTTTTTTTTTAAATTCACTGTTTTGGGGTTTTTGGTGTTTTTTCGATTTTTTTTTTTTTTTTTTTTTTTTTGGAGTTTTTACTAACCTCAAATGTGAACTTCGTAGCCTTGAACAGCAGCCGGCCGTCGGTCTACAACCAGACGACGCCCAGTCGCCAGTCTACAACCAGACGACGCCCAGCCTCCGCCGACACTAGGTAATATTCCCGTTTATTTATTTATTTTTTTGTTTCTTTTTTAATATAAGTTGACAACATTTATTCATTTTAAATTGCAAGCATAAACTTAGTTACTAAGTATTTAATTTGAATTATTTGTAGGATTTGTAGATTTAATCGGTTCTTTGGCAATAACAAGGGCAGATCTACAGGTTAGAGAGTATATAAAAGCTTTTATTATTGTATTAAAAATTGTAGTTTATTATTGTTTTTAGTGTAGTGTATACAATTTGTTGTATTTATATTCTAATATGTTTAAATATTTGAAAAGAATGTGTTTGTGTTATGACATGTTAGTTTAGTCTACTTTATTTAAGTTTAGTTTTTAATTGTTGTATTATAACATGTTAGTTTAGTTTAGTTTAATATAATAATGTATGTTAGTTTATTTTAATTTAGTTAGTTTAGTTTATTTAAGTTTAGTTTTTAATTATTGTATTATAACATGTTAGTTTTTTTTTAGTTTAGTTTTATATAATAATGTATGTTAGTTTACTTTAATTTAGTTTACTTTAGTTTATTTTAGTTTAGTTTACTTTAGTTTATTTTAGTTTAGTTTAGTTTAATAAAGTGTATGCTAGTTGATTAGGGGATTTTTCCCCACCAATCACCATCTGACAAGTGGACCAATCAGGTTCCGCCATGTGTCCGTCACATGGGCCAATAGGAGCCTGCCATGTGTCAAGCAATGATCCGTCCACTATGGACCAATTACGACACGACACGTGTCCTTCCCATGACACCTGGGATAACCGGTCACCTAGGCCCAACTTCCGAGGGAAGCCCAATCAGCCCAAGGTTAACATAAACCTAGATTGACACGTTTCCCGAGGTTATAAATACCTCCCTTAATCCTCATTAAGGGAGACGACACGCTAAAAACGCAGATTACACACATTAAACACTCTCACCTAGAGAGACCCAATCACTTTAATTTCCGCATTAATTACTCCTTAATCAAGTACTAACTTGACCGTCGAAGGCAGATCTCCAATCATCCGGAGCATCCGTTTGTTTTGCAGGTACAGGCGTCCGGTTCCAGTCTCGGAATTGTAACTCTCCCGCAGGACATCAGAAAACCCCGAAACATTTGGCGCCGTCTGTGGGGAGAGTACTTCTGAGATGGCATCCACGTCTGTACCGACTCCTGAAGAGAGGCGTCCCCTAGACGACCCTCAAGTTCAGTCGGACCACGATACTGAGAATGAATTTGAAGTTGAAGCTCACACAGCTTCAGACGGGACCCTAAGGGCCCGAAGTACCCGTCATACCGAAAGGAGGGAATGGGAACATCTTCAAACTGGAAGCGAGCCAGCAGGCGCACCGCCTGTTCGGCAGCAGCCGACTGATGGGTCTGCTCCCATCACAAGGAACGAACTCATGACCTTCATGAGGGACTTCAAGGGAGAAATTCAAGAGTTGATCAACAAAAAGCCGCCTGCTCTGGACAAGGAGCAGTCGGCTAAGAAACCCTCCACTTCACTGAAGAGGAAACCAGTTCAAGGGCGAGAGGCGACCCCTCATCCTAAATCTAGGAAGTGGGAGCCAGCTGCCCTTGATTTCACAAAATACCGTTTTCCTACTCCAGGAAATAGGAAACCTGTTCGTCATATTCAGGCGGACAGGTCGAGGAAAACATACACAGACGCTCGGCTACTGCTAGAGCAGAAGAAGAGTGACCGATTGTCAGAGTCGGCCTCTACTTCAAACTTCCAAGACAGTCAGCGAAATACCTCGATGAGGCATACTCAGTCGTATCATGAGGGTCAGTCAGGCGGCACCTCCCGTCAGTCCGGCTTTCATAGCGACCAGGCGGTACCAAACTTACCGTTTGTACCGCAACAACAGTATTTTTTACAGCCACCTCCGTTTGGTGGACATGCAGCAAAAAATGTCCAACCTATGGACTGGCAGCTACGGTTGCTTAGACTTGGTGAACAGCCGTCGGCCTTCTCCAAGGAAATTACTGAAGCCGCTCAGCCGGCCAAAGTGAAAAATGTATTAGTAGGCGCCTATGACGGCACTACTAACCCAGAAGACCATCTGATGGCATTCACCAACCTAATGTACCTTCAAGGGTTGGATGATCCCACTTGGTGCAAGTGTTTCCCAGCGACTCTCAAAGGAATCGCACAACAATGGTTCGGCAACCTGCCGACTGGTTGTGTAAATAACTTCAAGACGCTTGCTAACTTATTCACCTCCAACTTCGCCATGAACATCCCTGCGAAGAAGACGACCCTTGATTTAGGAACAATTCAGCAGGGCGAGAAGGAGGGGCTTCGTTCTTACATCAGGCGGTTTAACCTGATGAGAATACGTATTCAAGGGTTACCGGATGAAGTAGCCTATACTGACTTTTTCAAAGGTCTCAAAGACGGGTCGACCTTCAAATTTGATTTGATCCGAAAGAGGGTGGCGACTCTTCAAGAGGCCTTGATTGAAGCAGAAGCCTATATACAGGCGACTGATCTTTGTAGTACGGTAAAACAGTCAGACGGGAAAAGGTCCGACAAAAGAGAAGGACGACAGAAACAGTCGTCAAACAAAGACGAGAAGAGAAAAGAGGTCTGGGCGGCTGATTCCTCAAAACAGCCGGCCCAGAAAAAGAAAAAAGAATTCAAACCATACTCCCCAAAGTATGCGTTTAACAAGGATAGCCAATTTATCCTAAAGGAAATCAAGGGACGGATCTCAATTGAGAAGTCGGTCCCCATGAAGGGTTCTGCAATCAATCGGAACCAAGAAAAATTCTGTGATTATCATGAAGATGTTGGTCATCACACCAATGACTGCATCAGTCTCATGCGGTATCTGGACCGCCTGGCTGAGCAAGGTGATCTTGACATTTATGTCAAGAAATCTACGGGGAACACTTCCTCAAAAAAGCAGTCGACCAAAAAGAATCAACAGGACGACAGCTCCGATACAGATGATGCAGTCGTCTACACCATTGCAGGCGGCTTCCCAGGAGGCGGCCCCACTATTAGGGGCAACAAAGACAATATCAGGCGGTTAGATGTAAATTCCGTTCACCAAGAACGACCCTCCAAATATTCATTTCCTGAGATTGTCATCACTGAAGAAGATCTAGGAGGGGTAAGAGGGCCGCATGACGACCCTATCGTTATTGAATGTAAAGTGGCCAACCAAAGAGTTGGCCGAATCCTCATAGATACCGGAAGCTCCTCAGTAGAAAATGTCTGTCGAAACTAAAATATCAGACTGATTGCATACATCCGGCATCCCACCCTTTAGTAGGGTTTGGAGGAGGAGTCGTCCACCTAGTGGGACGAGTGGATTTACCCATCCGCCTGGGCGAAAAAGGGGAAGGACGACACATGGTAGTCCGGTTCCTGGTAGTAGAAGAACTCTCGGCCTACAACATGATTATGGGACGACCAACCCTGAATAATTCCAAGGCTGTTATAATCCCATCTCTTATGTTGCTCAAGTTTAAGAGGGATAATGGAACAGTCGGGTCCCTAAGGAGAGATCAGAAGATGGCCCGAGAGTTCTATCTCTCGGATGTCAAGCCCACTGTTATGGCCACTG